CAATGCCCATTGTTCCATAGATATGTCCTTCTTTAAATCATTTTTCCAGGCGTTCAACCTTCCCAACGAATTGTCAGATGTTTTGGATCTAATCAATTTATATATTTCTGATATTGCCCCTTTTTTTGAACTGCTTTTACTAATTATGTCTTCCAATTCTGATTTTGGTGGTTTGGTGCAGGTATTATTTTGATTTGCTCGAATGTAACTTCTAATTTGGAGATATTTGAAAAATGAAAACATATTTTTAATAAGCTCTCCTTTTAAACTTTCTTCCTTTCTTGTGAATAATTGCTTTGTAGATATGAGTCACAAGCAAACACAGTTTTGTCATAAGCCAGAAAAGTTGAGGATTAGAGGTTGAAGAGCCATCAGTAACTAGAATTGAGCGTCTGGACGTTTGTTTTATTTCTGTTTTCTGCATTCATATTATTTCATAAATTTATAATACTTTAAAACAAAATAAAATATTTCCTACATTCACTGCAGCTGATGGCTCAGTGTGTCTCCAGTCAGGCTATACACTCACTTGCCATCTGTCAGCAATTTCCAGCCACTGCAGCGATTTGTCACAATGGCACTGTGAGCAGAGGAAGAGCTCAGAGAGGCTGCAATTCCCACTTTGGGATTGTTATCTGGTCGGATTTTAATCCCAGTTCATAGGTTTTCATCCCCAGACAGAAGTGGTTAGAGGATGAGGATTATAGACTGTGAGTGTGATGGTGGTGACGATGAAGAAGGGATGAACCAACAGTCTAGAAAAGCAAGTTTCTGAAAACGATTTGTTTTATAACAAACGTTTGTCGGCCTCTTTGAGTTAGAGTGTTATTCTATAGTATTCACAGCCAGTGTTGTGCTTGTGTTAGCCCCGTGGTTATGGCTTAATGACAGGCAGAAGAAATGCTGCGTGTGTCTGATTTATAGGCTGCACGATAAAGCACCGCAGCACAGCTGAAGTTTTGACTCAGAGTGAGCCTATAGGAGTACTTTTTAAAAAAAACAATCAAAGTCTGCATTTGCTTTCAATTTTTTCAGCTTTGATGTGTGAAATAGAGTTTCGTGCCTTTATGATAAAACGCCCTTTGTTCTTTTAATAACAGAATTAAAGGTAAACCCACCATCACAGCAAAACACATGGAAATTAAGACGTCTTTATGTTTAAATTAAAAGACCGACTCATTAGAGAGTTAGGCTTTTTTTTTAACATTCTTCTGTAGCAAGAAGAAAAAGAAGTTGGCAGGATTATTTTCTCTTTTATTCTCTCAGTCATCTGTTAACCTTGAAGACAACAGGCAGGGACAAAGATGAGCATTGGCCTCTTTTGTTGAATGAGCAGATGTTCTCTCACTCTGAGACGGCACCGTGTTTGTGTTTCTGACTCATATTGTGGGTTTTTAAACGAAGCCCGAGCAGAATCTGTCTGAAATGTGACAGAACATCAT